TGAATGCACTTATTCTCAGCCGGCCGCAAAAGCCGTAGCCGGCACGAATGACTACTTAATTAATGTGAAATTTATCTACTGAATTTCGGTATTCCCATAGATTTGAAGTTTATTACAGAAAGTATGCACAACATATGCTGAATTATATTCACTTGGTAGAAAACCACGTCTTCTTAAAATTTCATGCTCGATGAAAGGGTGTGTATCTAGTCTTTAAAAAGTTCTTCGATCCCGAAAAATTTTGAGTCCGATCTACCACTGTATTGACGTTTGGAGTTGGCATTCGAGAAGATGCATACTTTCCATGTAAGGAGAATCTCACGTACCTATATGCCACTGGAATAGGTCATGCTTGTGTCGATAAATTTTGCCCTGGGTTTAGGCTATGTGGTACAACTACGATGCAACTTGAGCGGAAATTTCGCGGTCTTAAAGTCCTGTACTTGAAAACTGTGTTAAAACCGAAAGACGTCCTTTCTTCGAATAGATAACTAAAAGAGACGTGATTTTCTACCAAATGATCATGAAAAAGCATATTTGCTGCGTGCTTTTTATGAAATAGATTTTATAGGAATATCGAAAATCAGTAGAAAAATTTCTTAAGCAGTTATTTTTACCGACCACGGTTGGGAAGAAGTCCATCCAAAAGCCAGTATTCTGGCCTGACTGCAATATCTTGGGTTTACGCTCCAAGACCATCAATATTACAAACTCCGCTGAAGTAATCCTCAGTGAGTTGAAATGCATTTCAGAATTTCGATTCAAATTTCATGAAATCAGTCTTTGAATTCAGCATGTTTTGAATGATGGGGCATTTTCACGAGTTTTCGTTTTTGTATAAACAAATAAAAGACGGGGGAACACCCTCAAATAATTGTTCCTTGAACAAATTGACGGCTTACCCGCAGGAAGCCAGACGGAATTCCCAACTTGACCGACAATTAGATGAGTAGAATAGTATTACCGACAAAGACAAGGGAGACTGGAATGGCCATTTCTGGCTTATTAGCCGTCGTCAGCCAGCCATACCCAAGCCCGAAGTGTGGAACACCCGAGCCTCGAACTCGCGACCTGTTGGTTTAGAAGTCCACGCCCCTACCCACTGGTAGCTGACACTGCCATTGTCCTTCGACGTACGAGTGAACTTGTCAAAATGTCGTGAAAGGTTGTATTTTCGTTTAGAGAGGACAACCAAGTCAAGCGAAGCAAGTAAGGACACATTATCTGGCTATTAGGGAAACTTTAAAGTTAATCTCCTGCTGTATTGTCGTAAATAGAGAAGGGTTTACTAAACAGAGTAAAAAATCAACTTCATGCCAGGGGTTCGGCTCTTTTAAAGACTAATGGACAGTAGTCAGCGCGTCCGTTCGTGCCTTCTCCGGCTACTTTTGGACGATTACTCTTCTGGGACGGAAAATCTGACAATAAATCTGAGGTTTCAAAGATTTACAGATGGCAGGTAAGTGAAAATTAAAAGCAGAAGCGAACAGTCCCTATTTACGCTACTCATTCTGAGGCAGCTGCTTCGAGTCCACTTTTTTGTTAAAAAACACAAAATCGATACCGCGGACTGAACAATATTCACACAGTGGCCAATAATTAATAACTTATCGCGTACCACTTGATCCGTGAACAGGATGGCTGGCAAGTGATCGTAATGTCGTAAATAAAGACATACACATCTATCCGCTAGCGAAAAAGGCTGCTAGCTGGTACTATGCCATGAGCACCAACTACAAGTACCTATATGCCGTACTGTATAATAACAGTCGTAGATACTTTTTAAAAGCACTTCGCCATGGTCAAAATTTGGGGAGGATAAATATTCTCGTGTATTTATCCTAGCGCCAACCAATACCCTAACCCTAACCTCGAACTTAATTCTAACCTCAGCCTTAAGCTTGGGCCGAACTTTAGCTCCAAAGCTAACTTTAGCCCTACTCGTCTTCTAATCTTAACACTAAGCAAGACCCTAACCCTAACCGTAAGCTGAATTCCAACCCCAACCTTGAACTTGGGTCGAACTTTAGCTCCAAAGCTAACCTTGCCCCTAGTCCTAAACCTTATCTTCCTGGAAATTGTCACAAGGCCCTCGGAATACGGGGGGTGTTCTATTCCTGTATCTAACTGGATAATAATGCGTAACTCACCACAATTATTACTTGCTACAGATGATGGCTGCAGAATGCGCTTCACGAAACTGCTGACGAGGTGGCGATTTCTCTACCGACTAAAAACAACTTTAAAGCAAAAGAAAGGAATACTCCATAGATGGGAAAACCGTACTGCTCATTGATGATGGTGAATACTATTCCCTCAAGTTCTGCACGACAATTCAGGCATCAGCCAAACAGTGCGGCTTGTGGAAATGATTCTCACGACTTGTGTCAACTTCCCATTCCTCTCACAATGCTGTTATAAAAAAAACTTCCTTAGAAAATCTCATAATTTAAGGGACTCTTGCGTCTCTGCAGCCTCTGGGCAACATCTCACAGAGCACTGGGGAGAGGGTTTAATTTAAACATATGCCTCCCGCCTCTCCACTTTGTGAACTTTCGGTAATATGACCGATACAACGAGTGTCTGTCGACGCCACTCGTTTTTTAGGGACAAATCTGCTTCCCGTTAACAAATAAGTTCGCGCATTAGCATATGCCGCCTTTCTGGTAAAATCGATTCATTAGAAAAGTGGCGCCGTTAGTTGTGCAGGTAATTTTTTATATCACTTTAAAACATCTGATGCTACGGGGAGTGCGTTACCATGGAAGTGCAGGAATCTCCCAATGGCGTGAACCCAACTTTGCTCCGGAGTCTGCGAACTCACGCTTCAACTGTTCCCCGTTGAAAGAAATTTGCAGTAGATATGCGATCTCATGAAATTTTAACTGAAATTCTGATATGTGTTTTCAATTTGAAAAGGTTGCTTAAGTAGACTCATCATATTAATCTTCAGGTCCCATGATGTTAAAATATTCTAGCCGTGTCAGGATACAGGCTTTAAAATGAGCCTCATATTGACCGCTTATGGAAGTGATATTACTTTAGATGAGCATTTAAGTAGCATAAATTATTCTTATTGGTTTTTTATACCAGTATAAATTTAAATATATTTTATAGAGAAAATGCACAAAATATTCGTTTTTACACCCTTGGTGGAGAGTTATGTCTTAAAACTTTATACATAAAGAAAGGATGTCTCCCGGTTTGAAAAAAACGTTCTTCATCCTCGAATAATTTTGGACCCAACCTTCCTTGTACTATACTCTGCAAAAACTGACAACTTAAGTAGCATACAATTTTCTCGTTGATTTTCGATGTCCTTGAAAATGCAATTATATTTCATGGAAAACATGCATAAAAATATTCATTCTTTTACCTATTCGCTAGAAAATCACGTCTTCTTCCAATTTCATACTCAAAAGAAGAGTATAATTCGGTTTTAAAAATGTTTCTAATTGTGAGATTTTTTAATACCGTTAAATGGTCGTTCATGAAACGTCATGTATCTGGATTTACGAATGTGGTTTGCAAAGTTAACAATATTGCTCAAATCCACTGCTTAATTTTATGAACCTCATATGGTTTCCTCTTAACAACGTAGAAAAATGCATGGTTTTCCGTACACGGAAAATATACAGCTTGTAGTTTTGAAACCCTGAATGCAAGTGTAACAGCAGGTCCGTTTCACAATTATTCGGGAATTAGAAAAGTTTTTTAAAACCGAATTATCCTCTTCTTTTGAGTATGAAATTGGAAGAAGACGTGATTTTCCACCGAATAAGTAAAAGAATGAATATTTGTATGCATGTTTTCCATGAAATATAATTGAATTTTCAAGGGCATCGAAAATCAATGAGAAAATTGCATGCTACTTTAGTAGTACTTTTTTGCAAAGTATAGATGTTGCATGCAAAAATAAGTTCTTTCGAAAGCCGACACCCTGAGGTAATTGGGTCATTATAGATTTATGCTGCATCATGATTAGTTTTATAACACTACTTAATTTATCTTTTCGAAACGAGAACGCATTTCGAAATTTTGGTTGATATTTCATGAGTTAGCACATCTACTGTATATTTCATTGAAAACATGCATAAAAGTATTCAGTCTTTTGGTCCTTTGTTAGATAATTACGTCTTCTTTCAACTTTATACTTGAACGAAGCGTATAATTCGGTTTTAAAATATTTTCCAATTCCCGAATAATTTTGAACTCGACCTGCGCTTCACTTGCATTCAGGGTTTCAAAACTACAAGGCGTATATTTTCCGCGTACGGAAAACCATAAATTTTTCTACGGTATTCAGAGGAGATCACATGGGGTTCGTAAAATTTAGTAGTGGATTTGAGCCATATTGTTAACTTTGCAAGCAACACTAGTAAATGCAGAGACATGACATTTTATGAGCGGTCATTTCACGGTATTAAAAAATCTCACAATTAAAAACTCTTTCAAAACCAAATTATACCCTTTCCTCTAGTATGAAAGTAAAAGCAGACGTGATTTTCTACCGAATGAGTGGAAGAATGAACATGTTTATGCATATTTTCCATGAAATATAATTAACCTTTTAAGGACATCGAAAATCAAGGAGAAAATGCATGCTAAATAGGTAGTCATTTTGTACAGAGTTGAGTTCCCGCGTTCAGCCAAAAAGAAGTTCTTTCAAAAGCCGGCATCCTGAGGTAACTGAATTATTATAGGATTACGTTCCAGGCCGACTAGTTTTACAATCCTACTTAATTAATCTTTTCCAAACGAAAACACATTTCGGAATTTCGGTTGACATTTCTTGAGTTAGCTCACCTACTGTACTTACCTTTTTCGAATTGGAGACGCATTTCTGGATTTCAGGCAACACTTCATGAGATAGCACATCTACTGCAGTCCTTGTTTGGTGTTGATTCGCTCCCTCCCCAATACGGACCTCATCTGTCCACCTTTATTTTATCGGAAAAACACAGTACGGACTCCTGGGCTGCGTAATTTATTCGGTCAACATGGCCATTGCACCCGCTGCGTTCTCCCTGGTGCTGCTGGAGATGCGAACCAAAGCGCCGGGTGCCAAGACTTTTCCTCAAGCGGTTCGAAGCCGTTTTGGGAACGTGGCCCACATTCTGACAACCTGCATGTTCCTCATCACCTCCTTCGTGAACGTCTTCGTCATAATCGTCGGTGAGTCAGTGGGCAGCTCCTTTTGTTTAACTGATGGTGATGCAAAATACTTTAGGGTAAGGTGATACCATACTAACAGCACAGGTACTAGCCAAGTCCCATACACGCGTGTTTCGCCGATGTTTTGCCTCTGCATGGTGCAGCTGCGAGGGGTTCGGCTCATCGGTGGGTCCCCCAGCATTCCCCTTAATGAATATTACGCGGTTACCTGCTGTGGTTGATGAACTTTGGCCCAAATATTCATGTATATAATTCTCGGTCTGAGCCTATAGACCTGGTATAAACTGAACTACTCCAACTTCGTAGATAATTTCTCAGGAAATTGAAAAACGACTATGCAAAACACTGTCTGACTGACTGAACACTGACTGCTGCTATACAGGGCGATTGAATTGAAAGCATAGGAGAGGATGGCAAAGCGGATGTTGAAGAGCTTTATCGTGGACGCAACTAAATAGTCAGACATACGAAAGTTCGGCCGTCGCATCCGACGATGTCCACCGTGTGTTCCACAGCAGGGTGCAGCAGGCACGGTAACTTACGCGTGAATTAGTTTGTAGTGAGAGTAGACTTGCGCAGCATCTACCGCACTCGTTCTTCCCCACTCCCCACCTGGACCCAGTGTCAAGACAAAGTCAGGAAGACCGAAGGCTAGTGAAGACACAGGTGGACGGCACGGTCGAGCCCGCACTTTGACGTTCCACTCCACATCCCCCTGGTGTAGGCAGCAAATAACCAGGATATTAACCAAAAACAAAAACAACAACAACAATGGGGGTGACAGGGGTCCCAGTGTGCGCGACGTACGTCGGCAACCGGGTCTGCCATCGCACCCCGAAATGTTGGCATTTGTTATGGTACGCAAATCCGATACCGCCTGCCAGAATCCGCCATGGCCCCCGTGTTGGTCCAGCGCGTCTACCATGTGGCTCGTTTGGCGGGACACGTAAGACATACCTCAACATGTATTGAGCATGTGGGTCAGGAAATCACGTGACCTGATGTCCATCTATTAATGCAGACCAGGCTATGGCTTAATTAAAGTCAGGGTTCGATGGGGCTGGGGTATGATAACTTAGACACACTTTACACAGACGATGGCTGCCTCCAAAACCTGAAATGTCAGGCCAGATCGCGTCTCAAGAAGCTATCGTCAACAAAATATTATAGAGTCGGCCCGTACAATACATCCATGGAATATGTGCAGCCTAGGGATGGGTATATTTGAGCAGAAAGTCGAGGTATTATGATTGGTTCGTATTGATCGTTTTACTGAGGACTGTCATGCAGACCAATACGAGATGAATGGGCCCATGTGATGCCCGAATGTCCTTGAATGATTTGGGCAGTTGAGATATTAAGCGGAATATAAAGCGGTTATTCCGCAGTAGCTGATGGATTTCAGCTCAAATATTCATATCAAACTTTGGACCGTGCCTGAAAAGGCCCGTTTCGAACGATTTACTCCAAGTTTGCACATTAATTTCCTCGGAAATTAAACAAGGCAAGTTGAGGTATTTGTGATTGGTGTGTGGCAGGGCTCCTGACATTGGTTGGTAGATCTCATTGAGATGAATTTGCAAGTTCTGCGAATAATCCCATGCTACAATTGAAAATTCAGTTTAGAGAACACGTGTTTTGGGTAACGCATGATCAGGCCAGTACAATTACATAGACATTGAAAATATGAGAAGTTCACAGGATTTATAAGTGGCTCAGGGGTTATCAACACTCATCGTTCCCATGCCACCCGCATGACGAGGTCGGAATGTTGTGGTCATTTGGGCGAGGGGGAGGGGTGAAATAGGCGATGAGTGGTGTTTGTTAGTCGAGTACGTTGAGCACACATCACTGCCATCAGGAGGTTTGAGCAACGTGCAATGATCATCGGAGGTCGACGTTGGACATGGAAGACAGAGCACCTGTGTCAACGTCTTCTGAAAACATAGCACTGGATTGTCTAGCCGTATAGCCACTGCCTCGGCTGTAGAAAGCACGCGTTGACGCAGGCCTCTGGAGGAGCTTTCTGATGTCCGGTAAACAGCCTGAAAGGCTTCTTTAGCATCGAGTCGGTGATTCGCATCAACAAGATGTGCGAGAATAGAACTCGAAATAAATATTTTCCCTCCGCCTAGCCAGGCAAGTTTGACACTCTCGTTTCCAGGTGCCTCGTTGTGCGGCCAGGGGAGCAAGTAAATGAGCAAATGCACATCGATGTGGTCTGCAGCGGTAATCAGTCTTGACCTCCCAAGCGTAGGCGGGGAGAATTCGTGAACTGTACGCGTAAATTCACCGCTGTCTTCAGACGTCGTCTTACTAGGTCGCTTGCTGCGTCCCCTTGAAAAGGCAATTTCGTAAATACAGTGAGTGACCGATCTCATGAAATTTTCGCCAAAATTCTGAAATGCGTTTCCAATTAGGTGGCGTTGTAATACTGATTATCTTGCGGCGTAATCATATAATATTTCGGACTCGGCAGGATGTCGGTTTTCAACTGCACGTCTTTTTAATCTCCTGTAGAAGTCATGCTCGTCAAAAATCACTACTTAAGTGGAATGCCCTTTTCTCATTGGTTGTCGATGGGCTTTCAAATTCAAATATATTTTATAATCAAATGTTGACAAAAATATGCTTTATTTCAGTCAGTTGATAGGGAACCGTCTCATCTTTATATTTTTTTACTCGAAGAAGCATTATAATTAGGTTTTAAAAAGTTTCTAATCATGATAATGTTTAAGACCGTGCGATGTCTATTCATACAGTATCATACCTGTCCTTTTACCGCTGCTCCCCATGAAACGTACAACACAGTCTGCATCCATTGCGAAATTTTATGGACTTTATATGAAACCTTTTAAAGGCATAGAAGAAGATGTGATTTTCTTTACGCGGAACGCCTGAAACTTGTAGACTGCAATCACTAGGCGATATTGCAACGGCTGATCAGGCGCCAAATAATTCGGGAATTAGAAAACTTTTTTAAAATCTAATTTTAATGCTTTTTCGAGTATAAAACATGAATAGGAGGTGGTTCCCTATCAAACGAGTGAAATTAAACCTACTTTTGTTAAAGCTTCTTATAAAATGCATTTGAATTCACAAGGCTATCGAAAATCAATAGGAAAATGCATGCTACTTATGTAGTGATTTTTTTGCCGAGCACGACTTCTACAGGAGACTAAAAAGACGTTCAGTTGAAAACCGACATCCTGCAGAGTCCGAAATTTTATAGGATTACGTCGCAAGATAATCAGTATTACAGCCCAACCTAACTAATCCTTCCTAATTGGAAACGCAATTCAGAATTTTGGCGAACATTTCATGAGATTGGTCACTCACTGTAAGTCGTTCCTTTCTGCTGGTGGGCTTTTCAGTGTGCTGCCAAGTATTTCGGAGGATAAATCTCTCTAGGTATGCGTTTCCGTGGAGTATATCCCGCAGCTGCTGGAGTTTTACTCCAACTGTCCCTGGAGAGCAGATACGCTGGACTCCCTGGACCAAGTTTCGTTGAATATTTAGGTGAACAAAACGGTGATTGTAACTGCATTGGCCTGATGATGAGCTACCGAAAACACATGTTCGTCAAATTGAATTTTAAATTTCCGAATGCCAAGCAGGCCATTGCAGTAGGAACAGGTCGGAACTGAGTTCACGGTAGAAGGGGCGATGGTTATAATAATAATAATAAAAATAATAATAATAATGATAATAATAATAGTGTATTTTAGGGTAATAGGCAATGCCCTTGATGACCCTATTGAAAACGGTGCATAAAATATAAATGTTAAATGTACATCTTACTACAATTTTGTCAGTAACATATTTGTTCACGGAAAACGTTTTCACAATGCGGGACTACGAAGGGTGCGTCAGGCGGTCTTCTCAGTGTACATATGAAATTTTAAGTGCAGTTATATACAATCAGCATAAAGTTCAGTCATTTGCATACTTTGAGAGGAGACATTTCATTAAAAGTTAGGAATGTGTTAAGTAGGGATGAAATCAAGAAATGAAATTTATGGCTGGCCGCAGATAGTCCTGTTGTGAAAGTCGTCGTTTATCAAAGATCAAACGATCCAGTTGCCTTTTGAATACAGCGATTGTATCAGATATCACTATTTCACTTGGGAGTGAGTTCCATGGTCGAACAACACGCTGGCTGAAGGAAAATTTCTGGTTGTCTAGGCGTGTACGCTCCCGCTTGACTTTGTATGTTTGTGAGGATGGTAGAAGGGTCCTTTCGAAAAACGTCAACGATGATGGTGGAGAAGGTGTCGTTCCGCAGAAGAGACGGGTTAATCGTGCTGATAATGGGCTTGGATTGCAAATGTCCGGTAAGGACAATCCATGCCCGGAACGTTCGCTGGCGGTGTGGTAGCTGTTAGGTGCTTGCACTTTTAGTCTGCGACAATAAAGTCTTACCGGTCTATATTTTTGCCTTGACAGCGGCTGTTCTATTGGCTTCGTAGACGACTGCTCCAGTCTGTACTTCATTGCGCACGTAGAGATCGTCGAATTGATTTATCGATTTATCGATCAATTTCGCGCACTCCGTCTGTGACCAGTCATAGTCGCGTCGCCGTAGAATAGACGCTTAAGCCAGCGCTCGCCATACATCCTCACAACGTGGCCTCTCCATCGCAGTTGTATCTGCTGCAGCATAGCTTGAATACTGAGGACGCCTGATCCTTCCAGGATCTCAATTTCTGGGACCTTTTACTGCCGCTACGGAGGCAGCTTGGCGATCAACGTCTCCATCTCAAACAAGAGTGTTTTCAGGACAGCAGTCCTTCGGTTTTGTGTCGAGGAGGATTCAAGGACGGTTTCATACGGAGGGATGAAGCCGTCCAGAAGACCAATTTGGCTTCTGAGTTCCGATCGGCAGTTTTGTCGTCGATGCGTCAGGAGTACGGTGATAAGGGCTTTTAAGCAGACGCGACGCGCCCGCATGAAAAGCTCGAGTGCAGTGAAGCACAGGTGCTCACAAACTCTGTTACTATCCACTTAGCTCATTAAGCGAACTGGTTGCAACGTGACATTTAGGCGTTCGGGTTCCCGAACTTGACTAGTCAGACGATTTCCTCTTAAGCAGGCAGTACCGATACAAGACCAGGTGTGTCATGATAAAAAAAAACTAGATAAGATCTTATTTTGCAGCCAAACAATCGGAACGTAATACTGTTGAGCTACTTATTTGTAATGAGTAGATGTGATTACGTTGCTATGGTGTCGTTGTCGTGCTCAGTTCCGAAGCTTTGACAGCAGCTATTTGTGTGCACCATTGTCTCATTGGTACAATGCATGTAGAATAAGTACCCTTAAAATGAGGTATTAGGAATGATTAAAAACGAAATTATGGGTTTAATTTCAACAAACTTGTCTCAGTTGCTTTTCAGGGCTTAGAAAGTGCAACTGTTTGTGATGATTACAGTTGCTGCCAAGTTTGAAAAGTGCGCAGCGGGGTAGCAACGGTATCCTCTAAATACTACATGACTTGCTCAGAACATTACTCTTGTCTGATTGTGTGTCTGATGACGAAGCCCAAAGGTTAGGTGGCTAAAACACCCGTTTCAGGGGTCGCGTATCCGTCTTCCTAACTGCTTCCTGGGACTCGTCTCTTCGCGTGAATGAACGCCGGTGTTCTCATCAGAGACCCAGCCTCTAAGTCTGTTTCAGTCAGACACCCAGGCTCTGTGAGTGGAGTGTTTTAAACGAACACCGGGGGCTGTCAGCGAGATGATTTACGTTCGCATGATCCTAGACCGAGGATAGCAGGAAACTGTCTGTCAGTCAGTATCAGCCAGTATATTTGGAGTAAATAACAAAAGCCCTTAACACTCCATTTAAACGGTACAGGTGTGAATTTACATGTAGTTTTAGCGTGCAGAATGCATAAATCTAATGTGGAAAAGGTGTGACATTTTACGAAATAACGGCGAAAAAAATCGTTCACTGCATTCGTACTGAAATTTTCATCCGCTTTGAGCTTAAGGTACACAAAAGGATCTATTGAATTTATGCTAGTAGCATCTTTATAGTCATTTCAGTAGTCCTCTAGATCGGGCTTGGGAGTTGGGGTTGCCTTTTAACAGATGTCTCCCCGCTTCCCGCCACGCCCCTAGCTGGAGCCTCCGCCCTGGACGTAGTGTGTGCAGACTTAGAGGGAGAACGTCTCGTGGCCTTCCTCTTCCTGACAGTGGGCCTCTGGGCCATCTGCTCATGCAACACTGGACTTCACATCTACACTTTCTTCAGCAGTATTTTTGTGCTGCTCTCGACTGTGAGCCTGTTCGCCTATGTGTACCAGAGCGAAAAAGCATTTCCTCTTGGTAAGTCTATTCGTCATGCTAATTCACGTTAATCGCGTTAAACCAGGCAATAACTTGCATAGATTCTGCAATGTAGCACAAAGACACAGAGGAAACCGATTGGGCTACGTCGCTGAACGCCGTTCAAAAGTACATCAACTAGGACAGACTTATGGCTATAACGAGCGAAAATTAAAAAAATAGTTTGTACTTAATTACAGTAGGTAGCGTGATATAAATATCTCTACGTTTCAAAATGGAAACCAAAACAACACAAACGTAAAAAAAGGATAGTTTTGTGCATTCCTCCCAATAAGATACGTCTAGACCTATAAGGGAACCCAAAATACCTGGAAAAACTTATATGACTTAGAGTTGCGAAAATTCCCACGGAGCGATTCAGAAGACCATTGAGCAAGCATAAGCGTGCTTCGGACAACATCTCGAGGTACAAAGTGACACGTGTGAACGATAAGAGAAATCGATTGCGGAGTGTGTGAATGGGAGGGGTGAGGGGGTAGAAATTGGCAACGGTTTTGTGGCCCGCTCTCTAATTTTCCGGAGAATGAAGCTCTCTGGATAGCCGTTTACGCGGAGTGTGTTTTTCAGTTGCTGGAGTTCTGCTTCAACAGTTTCAGGAGAGCAGATGCGTCACACTCTAGCCGCCAGTCCCTGTACTAAATTTTGTTTGAGATTTAGGGGAACAAAACTGTAAAAACGAATGTATCGTCCCATCCAAGCTTTTTTCTGAATAACTTGCGTTAGATAGATTCATCCTCTTGTCTGTCTAAAAGGACATCGAGGAACGCGATCTCGTTATTCTCCCCAGTCTCTGCGCTAAACCTCGGTGAGGGGTGAGCCCTGTTAAACTTCTGAACTAGACCAATGATATCGATAGAATGACTTGTAAGGCAAAAGATACTGTCTATATATCGACCGTAGAACTCAAGGTCATTGATGTTATCTTTCAGACTCGTTTGTTCGACCCTGCCCAATAGAAAAGTCTCCGGTGAAAATATGCAAATTTTATAGACGGGATCTCTCAAGCCAGAAAGGCCAAGGTCTGGAGTGTAAGAAGAGTAAAAATTGCATTTACGCCGTATGCTTATTTTAGTATGCTAACGAAGTGCCGAAATGAACCCACGTCAAATAAGAGAGGTCCAAAATAAACTCTGATGGGGAAGGGCGATATATCTCTGAGCACTTCCGAAAAAGTTCCCCTACTACAAATTATGCCAAAATTGACTGACCTTTTTTCGAAATTACAGGATCCATAGACCGCATCTACAAGCTCTTGAGCTGTTACGAAGCACCTTCCGGTGGAGTGGTTTCAGTTTACATGTCTGCTTACAATCCGCACGTTCTGCTGACCGGGATCACTCACATGCTCAGTAAGTCTTCGGAAAAATTCTATGTACAGCAGTTTTTTCAACTTCTGCTTGAACATGAAGATGGGTAATTCATGGGGAATAAAAATTTACCGGAATTGGGCATGGCTGACTGATGACGGCTAATAAGCTAGAAATGGCCATTCTGGTTTTCCTTGTCTTTGTCATCCTCCATACACAACGGAACGAGTGAGTTCCGTATGAACGATCGGTGAAAGCCCCCTAACATCATACATATATTTATATATATTCAATCAGGAATGGGTGCACATCGATCTATTGGCTTCACGCAGCAAACAAGCAAAGATCACGAACAGGCAACCAATAATCAGGCCGAAGTCGGCCAAATTATAATAGCAGCAAGGAGGGACGACAGAGAATGCGGGTAGATTGATACAGTCTGTTTCGGGCTTATTGTGCCTTCACTCAGCCAATCATAACCCTGAACAACAGCTCGGACCAGAAACACAAACATACGCACTGACGCACCTGGCGCAGTTGGTCCACCACTGGGGTCTACCAGATGGGTCATAAGCACTTCATCGAACCGAAGTTCATCAGTGCCTCGCCACTTGTCATAGGTTGCCTGTTCGTGACCTTTGCCACCCATGCGGAGCTTGTTTGCTCCGTAAAGCCAATAGATCGGTGTGCGTCCATTCCTGATCGAATAAATATCCAATCTGCTGGAAAAGAATTCGAACAAAACTGCGTTTGTGACCAGTGGGGTGGTTACTTGGGAATTGGACGATGCGTCTGGTATTTGTTACCTTGCAGTATACCGTAGTTCTGATACCCCACTAGCCATCCTTGTGACGTTTACGTTAAGGAAGGGTGCTTGGTTGTTGTTTTCCTCTTCCACTGTAAATTGGACGTCGAGAAAAAACTGAGTTCCACAAGACCTTGAAGTTCTGAACGCCGATCTTCTTAATTACGACAAATATGTTGTCGACGTATCTGGCCCAGAATTTTCAGGAGTACGAACGAAAGACTAGTCGCTCGAGTCTCTTCAGAACAGCCTCGGCAATCAGCCCAGGGGGGAGGGCATCGGTGTTCCCTTCTTTTGCTCGTAAACCCGATTGATGAGAATGAGGAAAGTTCTGATGCTCAATTTCAGGAGCTCGAGAACGTGCGTTCGTTTAAGCCGTTGGTCAGCTTCATCATATTTTTCCTGAAGAAGCCTGTCGATAGTGCTGACGGCGAGGCCGGTTGGAATGGAGATGAAAAAGAAGACCACGTCATATGATATCATTATGTCGTCCGACGCTATTTCTGGATGTCTGATACTCCTCAGGAACTGCCCAGCCGGTTTCACCGTCCATTCGAAATCCTCGGTCAGGAAACGGAATTGTTGGTAAAGCCATTTTGACAGTCCAAATGCCAGAGTGCCGTGTAAGGAGACTATGGCACGTAAGAGAACTTCTGGCTCAGATACTTTTGGCAGACCGTAAAAACGCACCATGACGGTATCGGTGGCATTTGTGGCCAGTGCCTCCTTTCTCTTGATGACCCCGCCTTCCACAATATTTCTATCGCCCTGTTTACATTGTTCACATGCTTCTTGAACGCCAAAAGCTCCTAGGCATCTTCGCCCTCCAACAGACCTTACAGTTTCGTCATGTACTCAGTCTTGTCATATGAAACCACCGAGCTTCCCTTGTCGGCGAGTTGTGTTGGTGAAACGGACAAACGCCTCTGCACAAAATTGCAAAAGCACCAGCTTGCAGTCAAACGCGAGGATAGCCTGTCACTGGTATATGACCACATAAAACACGAGAATCGCAGTTTTGCCTTTGGGGAAGCAAGCGTCATCTGTCGAGCCAGCGACAAGATGGTCAGAATGGTTCTTGAAAGTTGGTTCTTAGTTGGCACAATCAACAGAGCCATTGATCTTCATCCGGCCTACCAGGCGTTACGTACGAGGCTCAAGTCAGTCCAGAGGGGGCCGACATCACTAGCGAACAAATCGCGGCTTCCTCAATAGTTGTCACCTCCACAGCCGGAGGAGAGAGTCAGCCGGGGCTCACACGACCGAGGCGAGACATCGATCGATCGACGCGCCCAAACGGCCGAATATGATCCGTAAATGGAACGGCAGCTGATCAGCCCATCAGGTTATGAGGGGAGGGCCCACACGGGCACACGGACCTAGGAGCGAGAAGGACGACCGGGCAGGGGACAGAGGTCACACGGGGTGCATGACGCGGCCGCGAGAGGTTCAGCTCCTCAGGGGTCCCCTAGTGTTCCCTATACAGTTTTGAACCACGCTATATCTTGCTGTCTTTGCATATACTGCTGATGACAGTTTATGAGTATTACGCGCTCAATCCGCTGTGGCGGATAGACTTCGTCCTAAATATTCATATCGCATCTCAGTCTGAGCCTAAAAGTGTCAAATAAACTTATGTACTTCAAGGTAGCGATTAGCTTCTGAGGAAATTAAAAAGCCGCAATTCCAAAATTGGAGAATCAACCAGAAGACGACACGTGGGACGCCGGGTAACCCACTGATGAGCCGAACCTCTTGCAGCTGTGCCATAAGGCTACAGAATGTCGGCGAAACACGTGCACGGGATTTTAGCAAGTACCTATGCTGTCATGTATGGTCTATCATGCGACCTTTGGTCTGATATTACCTCCGCGATTACGCTATTGAGGTCTTGATAGCTTGGCACGGGTGAATTATGTGCGTAGGGCGAACTGCCAGTTGGTTTTTTCATCGCGTATAAAGTGCACCCTGCCATATCTCGACCCGCCTTCACATGAGTAATAGTCGCCTCCACGTCCAGCGTCCGTGTTGTCAGCAGGGTCGTAGCGTTTCCCACATTCAGTGGCCCTCTTACAGGCCTGACCGACTAGGCGGGCGTTCTGCAATCCTAAGCCTCAAAGCTGAACTGTTGCCAGTTTTTAATGCCAATTGGTCGATTTTTGCGTCACAAAGGTCCAACGAGTGCCCAGTCTGGGTTGCATGATTTGTCACCCGTGACCTGCACCCAATCCTCATTTGCGTGTCACAGTCTTTAACTGTTCACCGGTCAGTCGAGGCCGGTAAGGGTTAAGCAATCGACGTTTGCCCGCATACACGAACACCGTCTGGCGTGTGATGGGAAGATAATCCCTGTCCAAAGTAGATGGGCGAATAGGAGACTGGGTGTTCGAAAGTGACTGAAAGAGAGCCAATGATTAATTTGACGAAGTCAAGTACCAGAAAGCCCATTTATATTTATGGCGAGTGGAAAATTCACGAAGCAACTGTAATCCAAATACTTTCATGGTCTTAGCGCTATACGAGGTCAAAAATTTGCCGATTTAGTACTTATATAAGTAGGCTGGCAATTTGGCTGCCAGTCTAGAAAGGCAGGCATTGCAGATTTTGTTTCAGTAGGTGCACGTCTTTCAATACCTATTACATGCATTACTATTGTTTTCAATACTTATCAGCCCGTCATAATTGTGATTACCCGCTCCCCCATGATCTCCTTTTTAGTGGTTTGGACGAGTTTCTTCGCAAATCAGACCTACTGGATAACAAGTGCTGACGTTCCACCAGATAACAGCAGCCTCGGTCTAGTTATTGCCTCTGTGGTGAACTTCACTACTTCAATGGTGTTCTCCACCTCCCTGGGCCTCGGACTCGTTGCACTCTGCTCGGCTTACGGCGAAGCTGTTTCGCAGACATACGGCACCAAGGAATGTACGTCATTCCATGAACCCAATCATGAGCCTTACAAACTAGTACATTAATTCAACCTACTCTAAGCGTTTGAGTAGCCTTAGTGACGTAGTTAAACGGAGTTCACAGCTGCGTTCAGCCCTGATTGGCGAGCTTGGTGTAAAGTCTCAAGGGTTACTATGGCGGCCAGAAGTGCCTGTGTGGGAAGTACAGAGGGGAGAACCCGAAGACCTTGCAAAAAGTTACTTCAGTCTCTGAACTATCGTTCTTTAGTCGGACATTTTCTTGGGGTTTCTTGTGGATTTTGAGTACAACTGGTTCCCCAAGAGGAGACAAAACAAAGTGCGAGAGCTGCCGCGGCATCGGCGAAGGGCTTCGCTGTTGTCCCCTTCAGGTAATTCTAAACTGTGTGTGACTAGAAGGAGGCCAAACCAAGCCGGATTCCAAGTAGGGTGTGGATGTGCTACGGTTCAGTCTTGAATTCGACCTTTTTACCAGCAACAGATAGCCGTGTGCTTTGTTGACGTCGCCAATGCGTTCGATCCTGTCTATTGTGAGTCCTTTAGGCGAATGGTGAGAACTAGATGATTTGCAGGGCAAAATCACCGTCATGATCAGAACCTACTATCGCTCCATCACTGCCCAAATTCTCCTCCAATACAACCTCTCTCTCTCAACTGCTTTGAGTGTGCGTGAACGAAAGCTAGAGGAATTTTTATATCACTGCTTGAGTACACCGACTTTGTCTTAAATGCTGCAGACCACACTCGCTGCAGCAATACCGCGGGGACATCTCAGATCGCTCGAAAAAAGACGACCCAGATGGCTTGGGTACGTGTCCGGTGCCGCCGTCGTCGTCGTCGTCGTCGTCGTCGTCGTCGTCGTCGTCGTCGTCCTCCTCCTCCTCCTCCTCCGCCTCGTCCTCGTCCTTGTCCTCGTCATCCTCCTCCTCCTCCTCCTCCTCCTCCTCCTCCTCCTCCCCCTCCTCCTCCTCCTCCTCCTCATCATCATCATCATCATCATCTTCTTCCTCTTCTTCTTCTCCTCCTCACGAACTCATTTATATTGCCCGGAGACGTTGGCCATCTGAAGGTGTCATAACCTGGCTCGACGCACTTCGTAGAGACATGAAAGTAGTTCTTGGACCTTCGGTATTCGGTCTCCGTCGCAAGAGAAGAGAGTAGGTCGAACTGCCTAAATCCACTGCCGCAGATCGTCACGCGTGGAGAGATGCAGTACGTGACATTATGGAGGCCAGTTGAATCAGGCCTGATCGCAGCCGCACCACGCACAATTGTATAAGAACTAGCATTCGGATAGCACCATGAGAGCACACAGTATAGTGTCTTGAAAACAGGCCGTATTTCGTGGTTTTTATGCTCAATGGCGTTATCGATAACATTAGGTTGAGGCTGGGCTGGGTGCCGGAGGCAAACATACTCATGATAGCCAGGGAATGGCGTTAGACGTCTAACCAGCAGGTCTCATTTTCGAGCCTCCGGGGGTTGCATACCTCGGCGGTTGGGAACAGCTGGCTGACGACGGCTAACAAGGCGGAGACGGCCACTCCAGTCTCTCTTGTCTTTGTCGGTAATGCTATTCCGACTATATTACGCACCACTGTACGACTACTGCAGGGGTTCGAGAGAGAGCCTCAAGGCGAAACGAGACAAGTGAGTTCCGTAACGCGATCGGTACGCGCTCCCCATCGGAGCCAACGGGACAACGAGCCCGTGGTTCAGTATTTAGGGTGTGAGACTTCTAACCAACAGCTTGAATCTCGGGGTTTTCATGTCCCGCGTTGGGTACGGCTGACTAATGAGCGCTAACGACCCAGAAGTGGCCGCCCCAGTCTCCCCGGTCTTTGCCAGTAATGCTATTTTCACGAGACATTGACTCAAATCAAAAAGCGTATTTCGTACTGAAAAAGGTTGTCAAAGTAGAGTAAACCAAACCTTACACTTTGTAGCATGATAGAATGTAATTAAGACCTTTCCCAACAACTTACATATTAACCCGACAGTTTAATCGTCATAAGCAGCGGCGTCCATAGAGTGTCCCACGTAGGGGACGCAGCAGCAATAATCAGCATAATGAGGCCGACTTGTGCAGCCTAAATCACACTCTCCCCCGCTCACCTACCTCGTTTTGGTGGTGAAGCAATGTCCAGAAGACTGAAGACGCCCCCCACACGCCACGTGATTCCCATACCACGTACCGGACTCTCACGAGGGGGTGCCGGATTCCCCAGGAAGGAGAGCAGTTTGTTATTACCGAGAAAGACAAGAGAGATCGGAGTGGCCATTTCTGGTTTATTAGCCGTCGTCAGCCAGTCATGTCCAACCCCGAAGTGTGGAACACCTGGAGCTCGAACTCGCGACCTGTTAGTTAAAAGTCTACGCCTCTAACCGCTGGGCCACGAGCCCCTTGCCCTGTCGGTTTTGATCGGGAATATACAATGGTAGGGGGTGCTCACCAATCGTTTTTACGGGACTCACCCTTTCCGTTGTGACTTGCGGGCTCTCTCTCGAACCCAACCAATAGCCGCACAGTGGCGCATGATATAGGCATCCATCCATCAGCTAACGGCGGGATCGGACGCGGTAGCTGACGTAGTGTTTAGGCCTACGTTTAGGTGTGATGCCATACCCCTCCCATGTGTGACAGTAATTATGGGCTCAGAGGGTTCTGCGTAACGCGATTAACGCGCAGAGTGAGCCAAGATGATCCCGTTTTTGTCCGGCACGTCTGCGGCTTAGCCCGTTCTGGAAGTCAAATAATACACACTTACTGTAATTCAAGTTTCAGAACGTTAAACTCAAAAATGACTGATGACCAACCAGCTGGCGCTCGAAGTACAGTCACCCACCTGGTGTTCGGGTGTGGTTGTCTAACGACGACCACAAAGTCAGAATCTGACATCAAAGTCGCCCGTCTGTAATACCTCCATCCTTAATTAATAGGTGATCGTATTTCGTAGGATAACAAGTAGGCTTTAGAAAATTCTTGAATTGTTGGGCAACTGTTAATTAACCACATGACTGCACTTGAAACGGTGCATTTCAAGGAGACCAGGTTTTCTCTAAGGAAATAAAAAGTGAATAATCTTGATGCTTTTCAAAGGAAAAACTGCCTTTAAGTATTTGTCGAAGGGAAATGCATATGCTACTTGAGAACTGACTTTTCTGGAGAGATGCGGCATGGAGAAGATTTGGAAATCGAAAATCAGTATGATCCAGAGTTGGATCTTATTTCATGGCCGTACCTGCAAAAGACAAGCCCTGACTCTAGCCCCTAACCCCGACCCCTAACAGGCACGGTTACGAAATAGTATCTTGCCTGATGGAGTGCATAGAGTGATATGAAATTATATTTCATGGTCATTACAGCAAACCTTTATAGTAATCCGGACTCTGGAGGTTACTTATGGTCCAATAAATGTTGTCGTCTGCTTTAGAACAGATTCTTTCGAACGAATGGGAGAGAATATGCGCATCCCAGGTTCATGTTTAAAAGAAGACTATGGCACGATCACTGGGACGGTAGATTCATTAGCCTTAGCTTTCGAGCTCGAACTGGAGTTCATCATCAGAGGCTGCTAGAGTGAAGCAACGTGTGAACCTTTATATTGTTTTTCCGTGCGGGGTGGGGACTACGTCCGTGGCTAGGTCTGGTTTGTGCCGCCTAGTCCACAATGGTCCCCCGGCGTGGTGACACCGTTGGTATTTCGCGGCGATGTGAGCTGCACACCTGGCTGTGTGGGCGGAATAGATGAATTGCAATAAAACTGGAGTCCGCTAACGATCTTTGGACCGTTGATTCGGTTTTCTTACTGCAAAGTCTATCAAGGTTCTGAGGATGATAAAGGCGTGAACAACTCTGTAAATTCAGATGACTTATGACAGTTGCCATTTAAAATTTTGATTAAAAAGGTGTCTGAAAATTGAAAAACTTCCCCAGTCTATCCTCTCTGCGCTGCCGCCGTAACTGATCTGTCAACCCATCTTCAGCTCCTATCAACTCAGACATACGCGATTGTAGACATCTGCATGTTAATTTCTGGAAAGAAATCCTTCGTCTGCCCGGGGTTACACACTTTTGAATGCAAATATCCGCAGCTACCGTGGTTGTTGGTTATTGTGAAAAATAGTCTTATCCCGTTAGCCGGGGACAGTATCGATCGATATTGTAGTTCTACAATCTGTTGAATTAAGAGTTTGTAAGACTTCGGTTAGTTAATGCCGTTGTTATTGCGGATCTAACGCACTACAAATGCCCACTTACAGCAGCATTTGAACATTCGTCCTTGTAATCACTGCCAATTACACACTACTTTTGAAAGTACCAAAGTATTCAGCTGTCTTTTATAGCAGTTTGCCTAACGTGTCGCACAAATTTACGATTAGGACAGATATTACGAGCATACGATGTCCATGGGGATTTGGAGGTCCCTCATAATTCCTTATAATAAAAGCAGTTGTCCTTCAAACGTCTTTTGGATAGATTTAATTTTTTCCTTTATATCAGTTGTACGTACATCTTTTCTGTTTGTGATCTGACAGCCATGATGCCCTACGTTGTGCCCATATTTGTGCTGGGACGAGGGGGCATTTTCTTGATAACTCTGCTGATCCTCGTTACGACTGTGACGGCAGCCTCACATGCGGTTATGGGAGGCAGCTCTATCCTCTATCACGATGTTCTAGAGGTTTACCTGAAGGTGAGTCCGCGCTTTTTTTATGCATTTCCATTATTATGAGCATCAAAATGCCGATCTTAGGGCAACTCGTCGTTATAATAAAAACATACTACTCGTTTTATATGAGTAACAACGACTTTTATTTTTCATTAAGCCATACAAGAAAAAAGAGGATCATCGAATTTGCCTTCTCTGTGCAAAACCACGGAGAAAATTCCCTGGCAGCAAGCAAAGTTGCCACTGCTGCAGCATGCTGGAGTGTGCTGAGTGTGGACGGGAAGACAGGTGGGTGTTGCTTCATGCTCCATTCATTGGAGTTCCTTTACAGCGGGGCATTTTAGGGCAGAACGCTTTCGTCAATCGAGTTACCGGACATGCGCGTCCTGTTACACCTTGAGACTCAGTCTTGGCCGTTCGCAGGCAGTCACAGAGTGAATGCAGAAGGACGAACAACGACAAAAGCCCCAGCTGACATCGTCCGTGTTGAGCACAAGGCCTTAAGGATGCCTCGTGCTCCGTTTGTGTTTCGCATGGCGACGACTGCATTATCGTCGTGGTAGTCCCTTTCAAGCGGCGTGCTGACGGGCAACGACCTTGTTTTCGTCAATATGAGTGCCCAAGCGTCGATCCACACAGGCGCAGGTAGCTTATGAGTGACGGTAGCTTACGTTCGCTTATTCCTTTTTAGGGGTGGGATCACTTATTCAAGGCAACGCTATACATAGTGAGGGCGCTGGTTTGTGGTCAATGCGGTTTTCAAAGAGAATTACCTGCCGGACGGTCTCCTCAGAGGTCTCATGTATATATGTACAACACGAAGCATGATTTCTGGGGCAAAACCTTGAGACTTTATCTGGCGCCTGGGGCAGCCTTCACAACCGATTCATGTAAATCAGTTCTCTCTGTCAAGCAGGTCGTTCCTGTTGCAATAACTAAAAGCCTCTGTGGAAACTGATGGATTCTGGCTTTCAGAAGTTAGGATGGTCAGAGCATGAGATACCCTCCCATAAACGTTCTTTGTGTCCATTTTTCTCATGGACTAGCGCCTTTTAAGTGTAACCGGTGTGATCCTAAACGATGTAACATGATGAGCATTGTTCGTGTCACAGCGAGCGACAGGCCGATCCCACGTTCACAATGAATAGTCAAAACGAGCCAAAGTTAACTGCCAAGCGAACAGCGCCTCCGATGTCGTGGACGCCCGACGTGGCTTACTAACCGTCCTCAACCAATCATACCCGACCCCCATGTATGGGTAATTTGGAATCCGACGCTAAATGGCGGAAGGTCCGGATTCCGATCCCAAATCACTTTAGCATGCATGTCTGGCTGATGAGAGTTGATAATGTAGAGGACAGCCACAGTGGCTACGTCGCGCCTCTCGCTAGCGCCTGCACCTACGTCCTACGACAGTCTGCTATGGCACGCACGTCTGGCCGGCTTCGATTTGTCTCGTTACAATTCACTGTCTGCACCACACACCTCGTCGATTCTCTGCCTGCACCATGCGAGGTTTGCCACTTCCCTCGCGTGGGCTCGGAGCCAATCATCGAGACTCCTCCTCTCGCTGATTGGTACATTGACAGGCGAACAGTGCAGTCCACTAGAGTAAACAATCGGCCACGACATTTTGCAGCGGCGACCTTCGGCGACACATGGCTCGTCGCTCTTGCAGACGCCGTCTCCGCGGCGACGGACGTCCCATCGTCCGGTTGACAACTTTCCTTCCCTATTCTGTGCAGAACAAATAAAATCTTCTCTCCAACTTGCGTCCCGCTTCTTACAACTTGGGATATGGCCTAAAGTTGTGGCGTAATGAGCGTACACCATCACAGCTTAGCTGCTACAATAAGCCAGAAAAAGGCACTCCAGTCAGCTTCGTCTTTGTGGTACCCTTTATTGCATATACTGCTGATCTACCATCTCAGTGAACATTAACCGAAGTTCAGTGGAGTTGGTATATCAGAAACCGCTAGAGAACGTTGGGGGTCCCACCGAAGAGCTGAACCCCTCGCAGGTGTGTCACGCAGCGGCAAAATATAGGCGAAACACATGTCTGGGCTTTTAGTTAGTACCTATGTCGGGAGTACGGTATAATACGTTTGTCATCCATATAGGTATATATATATATATATGAAAAGTAGAAGTGGTTCTTCGGAAAAATCGAGTTTTACTCGTGAATTTTCGAGCTGGTAACACCAACCCGTCGTCAGACGAAATGAAAACGAGGGGGAAAGTTATGTTGTCACAGTAGACCAGT